GGTGGTGATGATGTCCTGTTGGTGGTGATGATGTCCTGTTGGTGGTGATGATGTTCTGTTGGTGATGATGTCCTGTTGGTGGTGATGTCCTGTTGGCGATGATGTCACCGTGTTCAGGTCATGTAATGTATCAGATCTGTGTAGATTCGGTTCTGATCTGTATGTAGAGCAGATGTTTTGGTTGTCTTTGATCAGCATCTTCACTCTGAGAGGACGCTGCGCTCCTGCTGCTGTCGCCATGGCGAGCTGTGATGTCATAATGACAACTGCTGATGTTTATTGTAACTGATGGGTTGTCATCAACCTCCTGACTACTAACATAGCTCGGGGTGTCTGAATCAGAGCTTTAAATGTTGGAGTGCTGAGCTCTAAAATCAGCAGAGCTGCATCAGATTATTACTATTATTACAGAGACTGTAAACACCACACAGACGCAAAAACTCTGACAGCGTATTGAGACTGGACACACACTGGACAGACAGACAGAGAGTGTTGAAGTGTGAAAAGATGTCCATTAGAGTAAAGCCAGCCAATCAGAAAAAAGTGGACTTGTAAATGACGTTGATTGGCGCAGTGATAATTCTGGAGTCAGTATTGAGGAAATGACTGCATTTTCACCAACATTCATCTGATTCATCAAGAGCTCTGAACCCCACAGTCCGTTAAGGTGGAGTCAACATATAGTGGGAACACTTTATCATGGACCCTATAAATTACCAACTTCATCATTATATAATACTTTGGTGATGATGATTAATAATTATGGCGTAAATAAATGCCACTGTGTAAACTATTAACTATTCACTCAGTGACGTTCAAATAATTAAAGCACTGCGAATATTTTCATAAATGTATCAGTCTATATTGAAGAGTAATTAGCAATACCGTGTATAATTATGAATATACTGTAAGCTGAGGCTCTAATGTAAGATGACTGTGAGGGCGGGACCTTCACCAACAAGGCTTCAGTTAACCTGTTACCTGTTGCCCCATTTTAGCCTGTTGTGGTGTACCCAAAGTAAAGGGGGCGCTGTTCCCACAGACTTTGTTCTATAGCGATGATCTCGGCCTCATTTGAAGGGAAATTCCCTCAGTCAGCATAACTGTCTGAGTCACTGACTCAGAGTAACAGAGTCTAGAACAGAGGAGTTTATTTCCTCGTAGATCTCTAAACTGATCTCTGACTCTTGCCGTGTTATCAGACCTCATGTTCTGGATGATGGCGTCTCTGTGGAGGCGGAGAGGCTCTGATCACTCAGTGCTGATGTTGTAAACGAGACGATCGTCACTGCTGTGATTAATGGATCATAAAACAGTTTGTTGGAATCGAATCCAGACATTTCAGTCTTTCTAACGCTGTATTACATCATCGTACTGCTGGATGATTTGAGGCATAAAAATGATGTTTAAAAACTAAAGTGAACTCTTTAACAGAAGTGTGTCGGTGCTGGTGGTGCCGGTGCCGGTGCCGGTGGTGAGGCCACAAGGCCTGAGATTAAAAAAATGTAAATAATATGAGTGAAAATAAAAAGTGTGGAATGACAGTAATACATTGAGTTATGCTGACTGTACACTGGAAGACTTTGAAAAGACTTTGAAAGACTAAAGTCTGACACCTTCTCACGTCTAAAGACTGTGTCACAGCTTTTAGTCCCAGATTATGATTTTGAAAAGACAGGAAATCTTGCAGTGTCACTATTTACAAGACTGTAACTAGACTTTTGAGATTATTTCCCATCATGCACCTGGTGGAAATATACAAGCAGAGAAACCCTTTTCCTTCCTCTCTGTAGTGGTACAGATGGGAAGATACATTGGCTGAGCATGTAAAGATCTGGGGCTCAGAGCAGGTCACTGTAGGACTGCATATTCTGGTCAGATCATCACCCAGAATCTTTTAATTTACCTGTAAAATGTGCCGCTACTTTTTTATTTAACATAAAGATTTACACATCAACCCAACATGCATCAGCCTTGTTGGTTGGATATTATACACTAAACCATAAAAACAAACAGTGTAACAGAAAGCAAAAAATAAAATAAATTAAAAATAAAAAGGAAAAAACGGCAACGATTCTTCAATAATGCCGTTCTTAAAGTCCTGAAATATTAAAGCAGTCAGTTTACATCTTAATATGATTATTGTATTAAAGTGGAGCAGACTTGTCGTTTTTACAGAGATTTCAGGCTCTCTCTCTCTCTCTCCTCTCACTCTCTCTCTCTCTCTCTCTCTCTCTCTCTCTCACTCTCTCTCTCTCTCTCACACGTTCTCTCTCTCTCTCTCTCTCTCTCTCCTCTCTCTCTCACACTCACACGTTCTCTCTCTCTCTCTCTCCTCTCTCTCTCTCTCTCTCTCTCTCTCTCTCTCTCCCCGCGCACATGCGCTCGCCTGCAAGCACTCACACGCTGCCCTGGCGCGTCACTATTTGCATGAGCCAAGACTTAAAACTTACGATAATATTAAACACGGTTGATTTTGTCGCAGTGTCAAGACAAGAAAAGGACTGACTTAAGACCGCCAGCTTGACCACCTTATACCAAACGATCGAGACGACGCGAGCGCGACGCGACTCTAGCAAGACTCCCGTGATTTTATCCCGACGTGGATAACCTGTCTGTCTGTGAAAAGTCGTTTGGTGTCGATGGCTTTATAGAAATGAGAAAATCATGCAAGGAGCACAAAGACAAGTCCAGCAATAGAGTCAGTGAGTGAGTGAGTGGGTCAGTGAGCGAGTGAGTGAGCGAGCGAGTGAGTGGGTCAGTGAGTGAGTGAGTGAGTGAGTGAGTGAGTGAGTTAGTGAGGGAGCGAGTGAATCAGTGACTGAATCAGTGACTGAATCAGTGACTGAATCAGTGACTGAATCAGTGACTGAATCAGTGACTGAATCAGTGAGTGAGTGACAGGTTTGGAGCTTCAGGCGGATCAGAAACAGCTGGTGCAGCACATTCTGGCCGCTGCTCTGGGCAGTGAGAGCTCGTTTATGTGTATTGTGTGTGCATGTATGTGTGCATGTGCGCGTGCGCGCGTGTGTGTGCGTGTGTGCGTGTGCGCGTGTGCGTGTGTATGTGCGTGCGTGTGTGTGTGAGTGTGTGCGTGGATGTATGCGTGTACGTGTGTGTGCGTGTGCGCGTGTGTGTGTGCGTGTGTATGTGCGTGCGTGTGTGTGTGTGTGTGAGTGTGCGCGTGTGTGTGTGTGTACGCGTGTGTGTGTGTGTATGTGTGTGCGTGTGTGCGTGTGTGTGCGTGTGTGTGTGCGTGTGCGCGTGTGCGAGTGTGTGTGTGCGAGTGTGTGTGTGTGTGTGTGTGCGTGCGTGTGCGTGTGTGTGTGTGTGTGTGTGTATGTGTGTGCGCGTGTATTTGCGTGCGTGTGCGTGTGAGTGTGTGTGTGTGTGTGTATGTGTGTGCGCGTGTATTTGCGTGCGTGTGTGTGTGTGTATATGTATGTGTATATGTATGTGTGTGTGTGTGTGAGTGTGTGTGTGTGTGTGTGTGTGTGTGTGAGTGCCCCTTAAACCCTGCGAGCTCTGACCAGCGAATCTCAGCTCATGTGCACAAACACCATCTGACATCAGCGAATGTTTCCTCTGTGTCTGTTTGATCAGCCTCGACTGACCGCTCACTGTTAGAGCTCCGTCACTTACACAGAGCTGAACCACTCGGAGCACCGAGGGGTCAACGGTACACACTGACTCACTGTGTGTGTATTTACACACTTACTGGACACTGCAGTAACTCCACCTCCCTGTATCTGTCCACTGTATCAGCTCCACTGACCGTATAGCTTCACTCTGTAGTTCTACAGTTACAGACTGTAGTCCATCTGTTTCTCTGATACTTTGTTACCCTGTTCTTCAGTGGTCAGGACCCCCACAGGACCTTCACAGAGCAGGTACTATGTGGGTGGTGGGTCATTCTCAGCACTGCAGTAACACTGACGTGGTGGTGGTGTGTTAGTGTGTGTTGTGCTGGTCTGAGTGGATCAGACACAGCAGCGCTGCTGGATTTTCTGAACACCTCAGTGTCGCTGCTGGACTGAGAATAGTCCACCAACCAAAAATATCCAGCCAGCAGCGTCCTGTGGGCAGCGTCCTGTGACCACTGATGAAGGACTAGAGGATGACCAACACAAACTGTGCAGCAGCAGATGAGCTATCGTCTCTGACTTTACATCTACAAGGTGGACTGACAAGGTAGGAGTGTCTAATAGAGTGGACAGTGAGTGGACACAGTTCATTGGACATTGGATTGTAATTATCTTTTAATTTCCTGAACTGTGTAAATATTAATAATCATATTATTGAAGAAAAGATAAAACATTAATTAATTCTCTCTCTGTCTCTCTCTCTCTCTCTCTCTCTCTCGCTCCCTGTTCTCTCTCTCTCACTCTTTCTTTCTCTGTCTCTTTCTCTGTTTCTCTCTCTCTCTCTCTCTCACTCCCTATTCTCTCTCTCTCACTCTTTCTTTCTCTGTCTCTTTCTCTGTTCTCTCTCTCTCTCTCTCTCTCTCTCTCTCTTGCTCCCTATCTCTCTCCGCTGCTTCTCTCTCTCTCACTCTCTCTCTCTCTCTCTCTCTCTCTCGCTCTCGCTCCCTGTTCTCTCTCTCTCACTCTTTCTTCTCTCTCTCTCTCTCCTCTCTCTCTCCGATCCTCTCTCTCTCTCTCTCTCTCTCTCGCTCCCTGTTCTCTCTCTCTCACTCTTTCTTTCTCTGTCTGTCTCTCTCTCTCTCTCTCTCTCTCTCTCTCTCTCTCTCGCTCCCTATTCTCTCTCTCGCTCCCCATTCTCTCTCTCTCACTCTTTCTTTCTCTGTCTCTTTCTCTGTTTCTCTCTCTCTCACTCTTTCTTTCTCTGTCTCTTTCTCTGTTTCTCTCTCTCTCTCTCTCGCTCCCTATTCTCTCTCTCGCTCCCCATTCTCTCTCTCTCTCTCTCTCTCTCTCGCTCCCCTTTCTCTCTCTCTCTCTCTCTCTCTCTCTCTCTCTCTCTCTCTCTCTCTCTCTCTGCAGTTTGTTCTCAGTTCTCTCGGGGTGTGTATGCGATCTTTGGGTTCTATGATCAGCGCTCCATGAACACCCTGTCATCGTTCTGCGGTGCGCTCCACACCTCCTTCATCACTCCATCGTTCCCCCTCGACGCCGACGTCCAGTTCGTCCTACAGATGAGACCCAGTCTGAAGGGGGCGCTGCTCAGCCTGCTGGGACATTACAGATGGGACAGATTTGTTTACCTGTACGACACGGACAGAGGTTAGAACACACCTGTACACACTAACACACACACATGCCTGTACACACACACTGACACACACACACACACGCCTGTACACACACACTGACACACACACACGCCTGTACACACACACTGACACACACACACGCCTGTACACACACACTGACACACACACACAAACGCCTGTACACACACACTGACACACACACACAAACGCCTGTACACACACTGACACACACACACACGCCTGTACACACACACAACACACACACACGCCTGTACACACACACAAACACACACACACGCCTGTACACACACACTAACACACACACACGCCTGTACACACACACTAACACACACACACACGCCTGTACACACACACTGACACACACACACGCCTGTACACACACACTGACACACACACACGCCTGTACACACACACTAACACACACACACGCCTGTACACACACGCCTGTACACACACACTGACACACACACACGCCTGTACACACACGCCTGTACACACACACACACGCCTGTACACACACACTGACACACACACACGCCTGTACACACACACTGACACACACAAACACGCCTGTACACACACACTGACACACACAAACACGCCTGTACACACACACTGACACACACACACGCCTGTACACACACGCCTGTACACACACACTGACACACACACACACGCCTGTACACACACACTGACACACACACACACCCTGTACACACACTGACACACAACACGCCTGTACACACACACTGACACACACAAACACGCCTGTACACACACACTACACACACACAAACACGCCTGTACACCACACTGACACACACACACACGCCGTTACACACACACTGACACTACCACAGCACGCCTGTTACACACACACTGGCACACACACACGCCCTGTACCACACACTGACACACCCCTCCACGCCTGTACACACACACTGACACACACAACACGCCTGTACACACCACTGACACACACACACACGCCTGTACAACACCACTGACACACACACACGCCTGTACAAACACTAACACACACGCCTGTACACACACACTGACACACACAAACAGCCTGTACACACACACTGACACACACACCACACGCTGTACACACCACGACACACACACACACGCCTGTACACACCACGACACACACACAACGCCTGTACACACACTGACACACCAACGCCTGTACACACACACTGACACACACAAACACGCCTGTACACACACACTGACACACACAAACACGCCTGTACACACACACTGACACACACACACACGCCTGTACACACACACTGACACACACACACGCCTGTACACACACACTGACACACACACACACGCCTGTACACACACACTGACACACACACACGCGTCACACCACTGACAACCACACGCCTGTACACACACACTGACACACACAACACCCTTACACAACACTGACACAGCCACACACGCCTGTACACCACACTGAACACACACGCCTGTACACACACACTGACACACACGACAAAACGCCTGTACACACACACTGACACACACACCGCTGACACACACACTGACACACCACACTCTGTACACACACACTGACACACACACACACGCCTGTACACACACACTGACACACACACACGCCTGGACACACACACTGACACACACACAAGCGCCTGGACACACACACTGACACACACAAACGCCTGTACACACTCACTGACACACACACACGCCTGTACACACACACTGACACAAACACACACACACACACACGCCTGTACACACACACTAACACAAACACACACCTGTACACACACACTGACACACACAAACAACTGTACACACACACTGACACACCCACACACACACACACACGCCTGTACACACACACTAACACAAACACACACCTGTACACACACACTGACACACACAAACGACTGTACACACACACACTAACACACACACTGACACACACACAAACGCCTGTACACACACACTAACACACACACACAAACGCCTGTACACACACACTACACACACAACACAAACGCCTTACACCACACTACACACACACAAACGCCTGTACACACACACTAACACACACACACACGCCTGTACACACACACTAACACAAACACACACACACACACGCCTGTACACACACACTAACACACACACACAAACGCCTGTACACACACACTAACACACACACAAACGCCTGTACACACACACTAACACACACACACACAAACGCCTGTACACACACACTAACACACACAAACGCCTGTACACACACACTAACACACACACGCCTGTACACACACACTGAACTACACACAACACGCCTGTACCACACACTGACACACACACGCCTGTACACACACACTGACACACACACACGCCTGTACACACACACTGACACACACCACACACACGCCTGTACACACACACTACACAAACACACACCTGTACCACACACTGACACACAC